TACAATCCGTTATATAAATTTATTAAAATATTTTTAATAAAATAATATAAAAATAATTTTATTTAATATATTTTAATATATTTATAAAACAAACCATACTTTTAATATATAATTCACTTTATACAACAAATACAATCCCTCTTATAACATTTTTTTTTTTTTTATGAGAAAACCCCCTTCATCACCCATTTGGGGCTTGGAGGATAATCTCCGGTACGGTCATTTCATCTGAATAACTTCGTAATTCATTTGATATTTTTATGTTCGCAGACCTACCCACACAAGATTTTAACAGGAAGGAGATCGAGAATGCATTCGATCCGACAGACATGTGGGCTGGCAGGGTTTCCTAAGAGGGAGGAAAGTGCATATGATGCATTTGGAGTTGGCCATAGTTCTACCAGCATTTCAGCTGGCTTAGGTACGAGCTACGTTAGATGGATTCTTCAATTTATCCTAAAGATTTTTGTATTTAATTAAGTCTTGAATCCGTATAAATTAAGGCATACCAACAAAGCTCTATTCATGTTTTTCAGGAATGGCAGTAGGTAGAGATTTGTTAGGGAAGAACAATCATGTAATTGCAGTAATAGGAGATGGGTCCATGACAGCTGGAATGGCATATGAGGCAATGAATAATGCAGGCTATCTTGATACGAATCTTATCATCATCTTAAATGATAACAAACAAGTCTCCTTGCCCACAGCCACCGTGGATGGCCCTGCTCCTCCTGTTGGAGCTCTTAGTAGGACACTAACAAAGCTACAATCAAACAGCAAATTGCGTAAATTGCGCGAGGCTGCGAAGGTAAATCCAAATTTAACGACCCTTTGCTTGTATGATGGAAAAGAAGAAGTTAAGTTGTTTTGGGGTGTCAACAGGACTTGTCAAAGCAAATGGGAGGCCAAGCACATGAAATTGCTGCCAAAGTTGACTCCTACGTGAAAGGATTTGTGGGAGGGCCAGGAGCATGCCTGTTTGAAGAACTAGGACTATACTACATTGGTCCCGTAGACGGCCATAATGTAGAGGACCTTGTCTATATCTTAAAGGAAGTTAAGTCAATGCCAGCACGAGGTCCTGTTCTCATTCATGTCATATCTGAGAAAGGAAAGGGTTATGGTCCAGCTGAAATTGCATCGGACAAAATGCATGGTACACATTACTAAAACCATTATTTGCAACGGCTTTGCATAAATTCAGTGTTTAGCATCAAGGGCCAACGGGTTTTCTGTTCTTTTAGGTGTTGTTAAATTTGATCCAAAAACTGGAAAGCAATTGAAGTCCAAGTCGGATACCCTTCCATATACCCGCTACTTTGCAGACTCTTTGATAGCTGAAGCAGAGCAGGATGACAGAATTGTAGCCATCCATGCCGCGATGGGGGGAGGAACAGGGCTGAATTTCTTCCAAAAGCGATTCCCTGATAGATGTTTTGATGTTGGTATAGCGGAACAACATGCTGTCACTTTTGCTGCTGGTCTAGCTGCTGAAGGACTCAAGCCATTTTGTGCCCTTTACTCTTCTTTTCTACAAAGAGGTTATGATCAGGTAAATTTCAAATCATCATTCAAATTCGTAGTCTAACATATTATGCACACTATTCTTTTTCAGTTACATTAATAACAAACTTTATTTGACATCATATGTAGGTTGCTCATGACGTTGATCTTCAAAAGCTTCCAGTGAGATTTGCCATAGACAGGGCAGGCCTAGTAGGAGCAGACGGTCCAACCCATTGTGGTGCCTTTGACACTACTTTTATGGCTTGTTTGCCTAACATGGTGGTCATGGCACCATCAAATGAGACCGAGCTTATGCACATGGTGGCAACAGCAGCAGCCATTGATGATCGGCCTAGTTGCTTCAGGTACCCCAGAGGAAATGGCGTTGGATCTATTCTTCCGCTGAACAACAAAGGAACACCTCTGGAGGTAATTTTATTTTAAATCTCTTATATTTTGTGTTCATAAGAGTAACATTTACATAGACTGTAGGCTTAAATTTGCTAATGGATTCTTGAAAATACATGTATATAGGTTGGGAAAGGAAGAGTGCTACGAGAAGGGAATAGGGTGGCAATTTTGGGCTATGGTACAATTGTACAAAGCTGTGTAAGAGCTGCAGAGCACCTTCATGTGCTTGGCATCTCATCAACAGTTGCAGATGCCCGATTCTGCAAGCCGCTTGATGGAGAATTGATAAGACAGCTAGCTCAAGAGCACGAGGTCTTGATCACTGTTGAAGAAGGATCCATAGGAGGATTCAGCTCCCATGTATCCCACTTCTTGAGCTTGAATGGAATCTTGGATGGCAAACTCAAGGTAGAAAGGAGAAACAGATACAAACATGACACAACTATGACTTTAGTAGATTACCTGTTAAAATTTTTCATATGTTTCTAAAGCTGTATTACTTGTTGCAGTGGAGGCCTATAATACTACCGGACAGATACATCGACCATGGAACTCAGAAGGATCAGATTGAAGAGGCAGGACTCAGCTCAAAGCATATTGCAGCAACTGTCATGTCACTATTGGGAGAATCTAGGGAGAGCCTTCACATTACCGACCTAGCGGTGTAATTGTAATCAAACTGATCCTAGCAGCCACAAAATATTATATCTTGAGGCAGCAAATAAATATAATTATAGTTCCTAAACGAAAACGTTGCTCCTGTACACAAGGAGTGAGGAAGATTCCCATAAGTTCATCATCCTCTTCACTTGCTGTAAATATATATATATATAATTTAAATTGTATGGCATATAAACCTACTTACTATCGTTTATCATTTTGTCAATATTTTCTCTTTATATTATCAAAAACTCAAAAAGGGTTTCTTGTTTTGTAATTGGAACTGCAATAAACTACAAAACAAAGACAATTAGATGGGGAGAGTGCTCTTAATATATATTAGAGAGCTTATCTCTCATCTAACGGTTTTTATTATATAATTCTAACTGCACAATAATTTTTCTAGTAAAAATGTTTTAGGGACAATTGTGTGAGGCAAAAGTTACGGGTACATGTGAGTTGCATGGGCTGGGGCATGACCCAAGCCTTTTTGGGTTGCCCATAAGATTTGTAGGAGAAAATGTAGCCCATAAAAAAAGCGAATTTAGCTGGATGGGCCCATTTGAGTAATTTTGTTTGGGCCGGGCATGTTCTCAAATTTCCCACCCCCACCTTCAACCCTCCCAACATTTTGAATTGTGGGAGAACAAGATCGGTATTCAGTGTGATAACTATGGATTAATTTTATTTTGGCATTTCAAATATAAAGTGTGAAATTTGAACCGTCATACTAAATTATTTATTTAAAACTATATTTATATTTATAAGTATTATTTTTAACAGCGATTATGGGATTTTCATTTTTGTTTTTTTCTTTTGGTTCAAACTTCATGATGACGGAAAAGAGGTGTTAAAGTTAAAGCCAAATTTTATTTCACCTTTTTTTCCATGGACTTGAACGAGCCTAAATGAAATTTATAAAACGAAAGTTCCCTTCATTAGCCAAAAATATTAAGAGATTTAATTTGATTATAAAAATTAAATTATTAAATAAAAAATAAGATTTTTATTTAATAATTTTAATTATTTAATTTATAGTATAAACTACAAGATAGAAAACTTATATAATTATTGTCAATAGGTCAAATAAAGAGGAAAGAAAGAAGGAAAAAAGAAAAAAAAAAAACACATATCTAAAGCCGTTCCTATTTTTAGCGAAAGAAAAACCTAAGTCAAAGATTCTTTCTATTTAGATGGATGTTGTCCTTAATTGCCGAAAGCATAAACCTCGTGTTTTTGGTGTTGAAATCATTGCAAACAAGAAGACGAGCGTGCCCTTTTCAGTTAGCAGTCACCCTAATGCCATAGTGCAATCTCACCGCCCAAAATGACTTTTTCTTTTGCCGTGTGTCTGATGACCACAAGAAAGTGACCCCAAAAAAGATTGAACACTCTACTTTGATGACTACATTTCCTCGCAATTCACGAGATGACACTATCTTTTTGATTATGAACTTCATAATTGATAGGTGTCTTTCCTCTTGAATTTTTTTTCGGTAATGGGTTTTTTTTTTCTTTTACTTTTTTTTTTAATTTTTAATTTTAAATTATACAATAAAAAATAATTATCTTATATTTTTAAACTTTTTTCATTCACGTATTATATAATTTGAATTCAAAATTTTTATTTTTAATAAAAAATTATTATTAAATTATTTAAATTATTAATTTATATCTTTTATTATATATTTCCGCTTGTGTAGTGATTAATTTAGTTAGGTCAATTCTACTTTTGAGCTTAAACATTTTCAAAAAGTTTCGTGGAAGTCCACCTTAAATATGTTTTTGTCACAATCATCCTTAAAATTTTAGTTTTAGCTCAATTATAATCCCCCGCG